ACATTCGCATTAGGATTCTCACTAGAAAAATTATGTTGTAAAAGTCAGGCTTCATGACTCAAAAGTAACCCAAGAACATCACTAATGTTGAGTTGATCTGCATTAGTTCGATAGGTGATGGCTGTAATGAGGGATTCATACTCACTTCCCAAACCGGATAAAATATATAGAACCAGATCTTCTTTTGCTACTGGTTATGAAACTGCAGAAAGATTATCTGCAATGGTCTTGGCTTTCTGAACAAAATCACCGATGGAGAGATTTCCCTTCTTGAGATTCTGAAGTTGGCGCCTAAGTTGTAGTACCCTGGATCGAGAATGAGAAGAGAATGACCTTTCAAGAGCACTCCAGACTTCGGTAGCTGTGGAAAGTCCAACAACTTATGCTAGGATTCCCTTAGTTAGAGAAGCAACAAGCCAGCTTAGAACCAGCTGATCTAATTGTACCCAGGTAAAGAATTCAGGGTTCAGAATTTTCTTACTTTTGTCATTAGGATCGGGTATCTCTTCTGAAGGAGGCTTGGCCAATCCATCAATTAGCCCCATCAGCTTGTGAGCTCGAAGCATAGGAAGCAATTGGGCCTTCTAAAGGAGAAAGTTGTCGCCATTAATCTTGATTGTCAGGTAATGAATGATGTTGGGAATTGAGTTGATGCTCATAGGTAGAGAAGAGGTTTGGGAAAGGGATGAGCTTGGTCTCATTGCTTCAGATGCAATGGAGGTGTTGTAAGCCATGGCTTTGATACAAAGTTAAAGAAACAATATGAAGAAGGTGGTCTAAAAGAATGGGTCAAATTTCATTGAACCATTAGGAGCTTGTATAAGGCTGTATATATACAAAAAGAATAATGAAAGAATTAGAAACAATTACAAGAATAGAAATAATAAATTAAGGCAAGAGCTTCATTAGGAAACTTCCAAAGAGGAGAGTTTCCTTTTTTCTTTGATTGGTCTCTCTATGGTAGGAATTCTTTGAATAGTAGTTGATCCATCTTTAGCAGGGAGACTAGAGCTCTCTTTGGTAGGGGATCTAGAGCTCTCTTTGGTAAGAGATCTAGATCCCTCTTTGGTAGGAGGAAGAAGCCTAAGGCTGGTCGACTCCTCAATAGATTCGAAGTCGTCTCAGGGATATCAATCTTGCAAGGACTGGAGTATAGACCTGAGGAGGTGTAGTAGGAAGCTCCACTCATCAGCTTCGTTGGAGATGACGCAATCAACCTTCACCACTAGGTTGTCGGTCTATGGGATGAGGGAGTTGAAGCGCTTCGACACAGCTCAACAATGGATTAAGGATTTGATGTCGGATAAGTGGTTGAAGATGAGAAGAACGATGGGGTTGGGGATGCGATCAAAGACACCAATTTCTATAGTTAGAAGATGCATCTCTTTTCTTCTAGATTTGTCAGAGAGATGATAGAACTGAAATTGAGCGGATTAGTTTGTGTGGTGGAGTGGGACCGTCGGAGTGGGATGCTAACTTTACAACTGAGATAAAATGGAATGTGATTTCCAGAGTTTGCAACGCTGGTTTGAGAATGGACTCGTTCTTCTAGCTAGGGAACTCATTAGACGTCCAGAGTTTGTTGAGCTCTGAAAGTCAGACAAATGTGTTCTTCTAATTGTTTTAGAAGAAGAACCCATAGCAGCTCTTCTCCAAACTCAGATGTAGAGAAGAAGAAGAAGAAGAAGAAGAAGAAATAGAAAGAAGAGAAAGAAGGAGGAGGAGGAGAGAGAAAGATAGACACTGGAGGTGGGGAGATTTGTTTGGTGGTCTGAAGGAGGAAGGAGATGAACAATGTTTCTACCCTTTTTTGATAGTTTTTTTTTAAAAAAAGATATCATATTCTAGAAATTATGTTAAAAAGATTATTTTTATTGATAATAAGACTCAAAAATTGTCCTTATCAACTATAATCCCTTAAATATAACCGAGAGACTTTTACTATTAGACTTTTTAAGTAGGTGTTTGGCATCGTGGATGTTTCTAGCGAGATGTTTCCTGGAGGAAACGACAGTGCAACACCTCACTAGAAACGGCCACAAAATAGTTTTTTGTTTGTTTGGCATTATTGCTGCCACATAGGATAGCATGCAACACTTTCACCTATATTCTGTTTGGTTGAAACCGTTTTCTTGAAGTTGTTTCTTTAATACAATGTATCCCATGTATAATGTACCAGTATAGGTTGATGATCAATCTATGAACAAGACATATATCCAACACTTGCCTAGACTATTTTATTCCATATAAATTAATCGTTAACACACATTATGAAAATAAATTCCTATAAAACACCTACAAAAAATCATAGAAATTATGATGATAATATTTAAACAAAATCTAACCTTAAAAAATTTAAAAAAAAAAATCATAAATAAATTTTAACCTAAATCCCACATACTAATATCACTTAGCATATGTGATAAGTAAATTTTAACCTAGATGAAAATAAATAAATCACTTAGCAAAATGGACAGAGAAATACATCCATATGTGTTAATACCACTTAGCAAAAGTGATACATAAATTTTAGAGAATGCAACTCAGTATTTGTAGCCTTGGAAAGAACCTGATTAGTCTAACATTTGCTAGTTTAATAAGTATATGATTAGTCTAACACATACATAAAAATATTATAATTCTTAATTTTTTAAATAGCAAATAAAAAATATTTCTATATATACTTTTTTGTTTTTATAAAATATTTTTTCTCAAAATTGAGCTCAAGCCGAGCTGAGCTTATGAATTTTTTACTCGAGCCAAGCTCAAGCTCAAGGTTTTGGCTCGAACTGAGCTCGAGCTTGAGCCTAGCTCGAGCCTAATACCATTCAGCTCGGCTCGGCTCGGCTCGAATCCACCCCTATTTGGTGTGTATCAAGGTATTGGTCTGCCCATATGAAGGAAGCCCCATGATTCCCTTTAAGTGATAGTTTTCTTCAGTTTTTGCCATGTGTAGTGTCATCTCTCCCTTTAAGTGATAGAAATATCCCTTTAGTCATGTGTTTTTTGCAAAGCAATTTAGCATAATAAACAACTAAACATAATATCCCAATAACCGGTACATAATATAAATGTAAAGAGCCTATCAAACACAACAACCATTCAGTGCAAACAACTCAAAGATATGTTCAACGAAAATACAAAAACTGAGTATGGAAAATAATCACAGAAGATAAAGAGATACAAAGCACCGAAGCTATGTTTTATATATCTAAACCAAAATAGACAAAAAATTTCACAAAGCAAATGAGAGAACCATTCACATGGCAGCAAACAATACTTGAAATTAAGGCACAGTTTGGTAAGAATACAAATACAAATATGTATTGTGCAAATACATACAAAATATAAGGTTTTGCACTCTACAAATTTGTATTTATACTCCTTTCAAACTGAGCCTAAGAAAAAAACACGCTCATCAGCTGGACGAGAATGAACTCTACCTGTGGCTGCGTTGGAGTTTCTTATATTCTACAGAAGTTATTCTCTTCTATACTCCCCCTTTCCCCAATGTCACTGCTACAAATAATAATCTTAAGATTAATGCAAACAAAAAAAAAAAAAAATCAAGAATTAGAATGGAACAAGGGAGAGCTCCAAACCTGAATCAACGAGCGGCAGCACTCTATTTCTTCTCTTGTTAGGGCTCATTGTTTGCTCGGTTCCACGAGAAACGTTGATCTCTTGCTCGAAACATTTTGGTGTTTCAAGCAATTGTGAGTTTTGCGGATTCCTATGCGTTTTTGTTTCCTCTCATTTTTAACTGAAAACGGCCTAACCAAATATGATTTTTGACCGTTGGAGCCTAAACGCCTATGTGGTGCATACGTGGACTGGAAACGGATGCACAACACCACGATGCCAAACAATACCTACGAGAGAGGACAAGTGTCACAAGGAATTTGGCAAGTGACAGGAATTCCCGTCACCCGTCGACAGCCAATTGAGTGCCCTTAGCCCCTTACTATTACTATGGGACCTATTGAAATCTTCTACTCAGGTGGAGATCATATGAGATATCTCCTGTGGGTCCATCTTTGAGCTTTGGCCCCACCTTAATTTTTTTTTTTTTTTTTTTCTCAAATTTGATGTTGTTTTTATGGATTGTAGTTTTCTGTGAACTTGAGATTCTCCTGTCGATCTCCACCATTATTCTTATTTTTATTTTTTAATTTCTACAATTCTTCTGAAATCTGAAGTATATTTAAATGAAAAATGGAATGATAACTCTAAGATGGAGTTTGGTTCCAACTTCCATTGTGGTTTTATCTGAAAAATGACACCAGTTGAGTGTAGGGGTGTATATATATATATATGGACTGGATTTGGTCCAATTCATTCAAAGAATATTTTAGATCGGTCCAATTTAAAGTCTGACCCATTCAACATTTTAGTTTAGATTGATTCCAACCCAAACTTCATCCATTCACACTTAAATTCTTATCTTCTATTAATTAATCAGATATTGGTTCAATCCAATATAAATTCATTTCGGATGAACAATGTGTCTAATCTAATTCAATAAATACTTTGGATCATTAAGTTTAGACTGATCTAATTCAATATGTCTTGTTAATCCAACCAAATAGATTTTAATTTGGACGAGGATTAACCCAAAACCAATTTATTGACACTCCCAATTGAGTGCCACACAGGCATTTTTCTTAAAATACTATTTGGTTAAATCATTTAGTTTGTATGAAATCCATCTGTTGAGAAAGTTTCATTTTAATGTTCCCCCGACAGCGGGGACGTTTTTTCGTTCAGATTATGTGATTCCTAATGGTATAACGGCCGCTAGCTGTCAAAAAAACATCAATAAACAGTTTTTTCTCATTTTTTCAAGACAAAAAAAAATATATAAAATGTTTATTAAATAAACGGCAATAAAACCAAACAGCCCCTAAAATACCAACAATGATTAAGATAAAACAGAGCGACGATGTTTAATCCTAAATCCAAATCTATACAAATGTTTATTAATAACCAAAGCCGCGTCCTATATTTATAGATCCAGAGTAATAATCTCTCAGCTCGGTCGCCATATTCTTCATATATTAATATACCCTTCTAAGCTTAACAAATCGATTTTATTGCCTCTCTTATTCTTCTTTTTCACGAGAGCTAAAACTGAAACTAATGTCGTCTCTCCTGCTTTTAGCCTTGTTAGTTTCCGTTAATGGGTTCATGTCGATTACTCCGGCATTTTGCGACACAATGCGGTTTGAAATGATTCACAGGCATTCGCCGGAGCTTTCGGGGAGGTTGGGTGCGGGGTTGCAAAAAACCCGTCTTGAACAAGTGAGGGAACTGGTTCGATTGGATGAACAACGTACCCAGATGATCTACCATAGGATAGGCCAACGGACTGAACGGAGGAAGGATGCAGAGGGTGGAGCTGATGGACAGATTGGGGCGGCAGCTTGGACTGGTAAGGTTATTGGTTCAAGTGGGGCTTCGGTTCCGATGTTCTCCGGCTCGTTTGCCGGGGAGGGTCTGTACTTTGTTCCATTTAGAGTGGGGACACCAGCGCAAAATGTGCTGCTCGTCGCTGACACTGGGAGTGACCTCACTTGGATGAATTGCATTCATGGTTGTCGCAATTGTGGGAGGAAAGTTGATCGCCGTAGGTTCTTTAACGCCGATTTGTCATCTTCCTTCACAACCATACCATGCTTGTCTCGGATGTGCAAGAATGATCTCGCTGTTATGTTTTCCTTGACTGATTGTCCCAAGCCATTGAACCCCTGTAAGTATGACTACAGGTATGACTTCTTCTTCTTCTTCCCTTGGGATCTCGATCAGTTATCAACTTATTTCAAAGTTTTAACAAACTTGATCATTAATTGGAACTATAGATGACGATGTAGCTAGCGTATATTAATATATATATATATGCTCGATCGAAAAATTTTCCCGTTTTGGGAACTAAGAAAAATAAATCGGAGATTGGATCATTCCGCCAGCTGCTTGTGCTGATCGAGTTTGGCCACCTGAAAATTAAAGGGAGGGTAGAAAATAGCTAGAAAACAAAACCAACCAATGCCCGACAAGTAAAAGCGAGCAGGCTGACATGTCTCTCGCTCGTCTCGACCAAGTAATTCCCATATGTATATATATCTTCATCAATTCATTAAGCAGCGACGGTAGTACTCACTGTTAATACATATATACAACTACCGGTCAACTGGGTTGATCGATCTCGGTCGATCGAATTTTACTGAATATAACTTGATAGATGTCGATGTTAATAAGTACTGTGATATAGTAATACTGTTAATCTGGTTTAATTAATTTTCTCATCGTCATCTGAATAGTTACTCAAGTGGGCAATCGGCACAAGGCTTCTTCGCCAATGAATCTGTGACTGTGAGACTCACGAATGGTAGGAAGATGAAAATCCACCATGTCCTGGTGGGATGCACCCAGACAACACAAGGCCAGAAGTTCAGTAATGTTGTTGATGGCATACTTGGGTTGGGATACAGTCCTAACTCCTTCGCCACTAAAGTCTTACAAGTGTTCGGCAGCAAGTTCTCCTACTGCCTGGTCGATCACCTGAGCCCCAGGAATGTGTCGAATTATCTCGTCTTCGGCCGCAACCATATTGTGAATGTGAACCCGCCGGAGATGCAATACACAGAGCTGATGGTGGGCAAGGTCCTCCCATATTACGCGGTCAATGTGATCGGCATCTCCATAGGTGGTGTGCTGTTAAGAATTCCATTGAGCGTATGGAATTTGGATAAGAACGGAGGAACGATTCTGGACTCAGGTACCAGCTTAACGTTACTAGTTGAACCGGCTTATCGGCTTGTGATCGATGCTCTGAAGGTGGCACTGATTATGTACAAGAAGGCGGAGGTGCCTGAATTTGAGGTTTGTATCAAGGTGGACAAAGCATTTGATGAGGGTCTAGTGCCTAGACTGGGAATCCATTTTGCTGGTGGAGCTCGACTGCTGCCGCCGGTGAAGAGCTACCTGATCGATGTGGCCGACGGGATCAAGTGTCTTGGCTTCAGGTCTGTTTTTTGGCCGGGTATCTCTGTAATTGGCAACATAATGCAACAGAATTTCTTCTGGGAGCTGGATCTCAGGAGAGAGAGGGTGGGTTTTGCACCCTCCAGCTGCGCTTAATATTCAATTAATCAAGCTTAATTACCTTCTCCATTGATTAATTCTGAGCTTTTCATCATCATTTAATTGTAATATTCTTGAGCTCTTTCTCTACTTCTTCTTCATTAATTCTGTAATTTAATGTCTGATACTATACACAATATCATCATCTATTGATCATCTTCAATTTATGATTTGATCAATCTAATATTTTCTAAATATGATTATTATTTGGGTCCCCCTTCAATTTATGTTTCTCCTGGACCCTAGCTATATAGTATGCTGTGTGCTGTTGTTGGATTGCAGTTGTGTTTAGACTTTTGTGTTTTGCTATTTCTTCTGAAATAAATAAAGTAACGAAAACAACTCATTCCTCGCTCAAATGATAACTATGGATTGAGACGGTCCTCCCGTGATTTGAAAATGATGGAGATCGTGGTTTTTTTTTATTTTTTTTTTCTTCTTTACTTCAAAGAAAAAAAACTAGAGAGAGATAAAGACAAGGACCCATTAATTAGAAGTTTACTGGGACATACCAAGTACCAACACCAATTGATTGCATAACATTAATTATAACCAATAATTCAGGCTTGTCCTAAATAGTGCTGTCAATGGGTCGGGTTGGGGTCCGGGTAATGGTAGACCCGGTCCTCAGACTTGACCCAATTATAATTGAGACCTCTACTCGTTTGTTAAGCTGATACATTTGGACATGATAATATGATTATATGAAGGAGCAGCACAACAGACCTTATTCTCATTTGTCATGTCTGAATGGATCAAAACCCAATTGGTGCAAGGGAAAGATGGCTTCAGAACAACAAGCTTAGAGTCATTTGATCAGGTTTTAATTTGATGGGTGTGGGGTCAACGAATTTCCTCTGATGAGACCGGAGACTGAATACTGTACTGCTCGTAATATATAGTATTAAGGTTCAGTTTGGAAAGAGTATAAATACAAATATGTACAATATAAATATATATAAAATAATACAAAATATAATGTTTTGTATTCTATAAATTTGCATTTGGAAACAATACAAATGCAAATATGCATGGCGTAAATACATACAAAATATAAGGTTTTGCACTTTACATATTTGCATTTGTTCTCTTTTCAAACTCAGCCTAAAAGTGCAATTTCATTTCCTTGCTGCAAAAGTATGGGAGTGGAAATGCTTTGAGTGCATATCTTCATGAGTTTTGACTTAATTTATTTGCTTGTATTGCTTTCATTTTTGAGTAAACAATAATTTGCATTTCTTTTCGATTTCATTTACACTCATTTATTCGTTTTAGTGCAAAAAAAAATTGTAAACGTTGAAGACATTTTTGAGGGAGCGGGGGAAGAAGGGGGATCATGTGGTTTTCATAAATCAAGGCGTCTTTCCCGGTAACTACTCACTACGTATGTTGGTGTGGGTTGGGACTTGGGACGACCAAATAAGATAGAGAGAAAGCCAATGAAAAGTCATAGAACCCATGTGGGTCATTTTTCCTTTTGTATGACTTTTGCAACACAAAAGCCTACCTACACTCTTCTTCAACATTGTACACATATCATCGCATAATAATGCTGACGTGAAGTGACAATACTACCCTCTACTGGGTCAGATTTTTTAAAACTTGCATTTAAATCTGATCCCATTTGAACATATTGGATTTTAATTCAAATCCTAACAGTTTTGGTTTTTATCTAATTTTTCTTTAATTTTAAAATAGAAAAAAATAAAAATTAAATACTTTATATATAATGTATTTTTATAATTTTAAATATAATTATATAAAATTTATATATTAAAATCAATAAATATTATAATATAATTGGATTCGAATTTTAATTCATTCAGGTAGAGTCAAATTCGAATCAGATCCTATTATTAATCATATGTAGATTGTAAAATCTATACATCTAAATCTGAGATAATCGGATCGAGTCTCGGCTTTTAGGATATCATTGATAGGCCTAGGTATATATTTTTTGTGTTTTTCACATAAGATTAATATAGGGCGTTTTGGTAATAATACTGCCATCCTAGCTCAACCAAATAGACAAGTCATGGAGACAGGTTGGAAGTAGATCAATGTTCCTGCTTCTTGCTTGTGTGACCTGACCTGAGAGAGAGAGAGAGAGAGTAGACTTGGCAACTTCTCGTGAGCAATATATTATATAAATGTAAATTAATAAACAACATCCTTTATATGGGTTGGCTTCTGCCTCGTGGAAGCCGCGGGAAGGCCCTATCACCATTTGAACTCTTCATGAATGGGGTTTCTTCGGATTTGCCACATGATCAATTGTTGTATCATCCAACTCAGCTGCTTCCATTTTCAACCCATCAGCTAGCGTTAGCTTTTCTTTTTCTTCCTATGAAAATGGAGCTAATTAAAGGTGGGAGATATCACCGACACCTTTGATATGCCTCACCACCTGATCATGTTTCACATGGTATTGAGGGAGAAAGACAAATGTCTGAACGACCCAAGTTTCTAGCCTGCAACTATAGCCACATGGCACTGTAGGGTTGGCATTTTCACCCAAATCCATTATCCATTTGACCCATCAGCCATTTGATTCGGGGGCCAATGTGGGTCAAGTAGCCCATTAGAGTCATGGAAAAGGGTTGGATTAAAGTGGGTCAGGATGGGTTGTGATTCACTAACACCCAATTAATATGGGTGGTAAATGGATTAGTGATTCAATGAGGATGGCTTAATTGGTACTCAATCCGCACCCAATCCATTCATTGAAATAAAGAATTATAACCAGATGGACTACTTCTTTTAATTGACGTGTATTATGCATGAATATGTAAGTCCTATGTGCACTGTATAATTGAGGTAGTACATCAATCAAGATGGGCATGTACTCTCTGTGACATGGTGGGTTCCATGCCTGACCCAATTATTTATGCTAAAATTGCACTTGTTTTTGTATATGATGAGTGTGAAATGTATTTCAGGTAGAAATAATTGAGCTACATTTTCATCCCCTTTACAAATATGAAGTTTTATTCCCATCACAAATTAGTTGGGCGGCGCAAAACAAATAGCTCATACCATTAAGCATAAGGTATTATGATACCAAAGTGAATCTTATCCATTGGTTTAGAAATCATCAAAATATTACATACCATTAATTGGAAATTACTTTGATCGATATTGTATAACATAAATAGAGTGGCTTAAAAATAACTTTTATGTGGTTCGAATTAGACCTGTTCACAGGCCGGGCTTTACCTCTACATTAATAGAATATGTTCGGGCCTAGGTCTTGAGTCCTACCCTGGCCCTCATATAAAGCCCAAAGCTTGGGCCCGAACCTGAGCCAGATTAGAAATTTGGAAAATAAGAATTTTTTTTCTTTTTAATTCAATTAAAAGCTGTTTTATTTATACTAAGAGACCTCAAAACCTAAAAAAATAATGAAGTCTCATTATTACTTGAAAAAAGAGAAAAAAATATATATTATATATATGCTTTTTATTATATAAAATATATTCTTATTAATATAATACATTATCAAGTTGGGCTCGGGCCCGCAGGCCTGAAATCTTGTCCAAACCCGACTTAGATCGGGTCGAACCGGCCTGGACCGTCAGGCTACTCGACCTATGAACAGGTCTAGTTCGAACCAACCTCATAGTACTTGTAGCCACACATCAACCTCACAACACTTGTAGCCACATAAAATGCACCTCACAGCGCTTGTAGCCACACATCAGGAATATCTCCCATAAAATATTTAGTTAGAGGGCCCTATTTAGAATACCAAAAAAAAAAAAAAGATGAATCAGATAACTTTTAGACAACCCAAATAATTGTAGAGGGGAAAATTGAAGCTATTGATCAATAAATAAATTAATTTAATTAAGGGGGTTTCCATCAAAAAAAAAAACAGCTAGATGCTACATCAGCAAAATTGTCTCCATAAAATAATGTGCCATATATGTTGATTGCTCATTGCTTTATATTGCAAGCAGAAGCAACATCTACCAATCATACAATAATCGAAGAGCAGGTGTGAGATATATGTGATCGGGTCGTGCACAACATCATTATCGTCGTCTAACCCTTTTGTAATATTGCTTCCTCATTCCATTCTATTCAGTGTCATATTCAATCAATTATTCATAGTTAAATTATTTCTTAATATTGCACAAAACAAAATTCAAGTTGTACACATCATAATTGATAAATTTCTAAATAAAAGTATATATTCTTCTTGTTCACTTGCTTTCATATCTTTTCCTTTTTTTTTCATGGACTAATGCCATATCTTCTTCTTTAATTATCATCATATGTTGAATGGGATGGGTTATAGGCCCCAGAATTAACAGAAGGTATGTACTTGCTTACACAAAAAAGCTTTGTATCAATAATTATTGAATGGCGACAAGATGTTTGAATGAACACAACGACTATCAGCTCAATGCAAGAGCTTGGAAGGGAATCGAAGAAATGGAAACCCAACGGGATAGGATGGGGAGAGGCTATCTTTGTGTATCACTTCTTTGCTCTCTCATGATACGAATTTATTTTCCGGACAATTATGTTTAAAGGGAAATCTAGGATGCCAGAAAGACAAGAGCTTTACCAAATAAAATCTATTCATAAATTTTGATAAATACCATTTATGATATTAGTTAATTGGTCACAATTTTCTTGGGTATTCTTTTCTTTTCAAGTACAGAATTCTCCCATTTATTCAGTTTTAAGTTGGGTTAGTGTAATTCAGGGAAAACAATACTGAACAGTAACAGCAGAGGCAAAAGCAGTGATGCCACCCGGCCCATTAGAGTCCAGTCGGTCATATGAGGATTAGATCTGTTTATGGACCAGGTAGCCCGATGGGCTGGCCCAGCCCAGTCCGTTATTAAGCTTTCTCAAATAAGCTCAGTCCGACACTATTACATATAATAATAAAATACTTATGCTATATGTAATATATATATATATATATATATATATATATATATATATTTGTTTATTAAATTATTGTCAAATTAGGAATGACAAACTAGTTTATTAATTTATTAATTTACTACTTATGTGCAGATCGGGCTTCAAACTTTATATAAGATCCAGACTCGGGCCCAAAATCTAAGCCCAATGTTCAAGCTAGGCTCGGACTCGAATCTGTACATTTTTTATTGATAAAGTGGCAAAGCCTGGCCCAAACTTGGCCCAA